GAGAGAGAGAGGGAGAGGGGCCTTAGAGGGGAACTAGGGTTTTCTTTTCTGCCGACAATGGCGACGCTCCAGAGCTGGAGAAAAGCCTATGGAGCGCTCAAAGATTCCACCAAAGTTGGGCTTGCCAAGGTCAATAGCGAATACAAGGTATAACCATTTCCTCGTTTTACAGTTTCTTTATGTCCAATATTTTCTCATTTCAATTGTGTTGGGAGCTTTTTATTTTCGAATTCATGGGTTTGCTCATTTGCGTTTTTTTGATGTGGTGTTTGGATCAAAGGATTTGGATATTGCAATTGTGAAGGCCACCAATCATGTCGAATGTCCCGCAAAAGAACGCCATGTACGAAGTGAGTAATTTCAAATTATTGTTTTTTGAGAAATATTCTTGATTTGTATTCTTGTCTTATTGAATTTCTTAGTTATTGAATAGAATTTTGCAGATCTAATAATGGGATTTTTAGTTTTATTTGAATGAAGCATTGATCTTGCCATTTTACGGACTATTCTTGACTATTCTTTAATTACAGCTATTTTGGCCATATTTTGTACTTATTATTATTTTTAAAACATGTATTATCAATTTTTTGATAGTGAAATTGGGTTGTAGTGATTATCCTTCTTTGGATGTCAGATTCTTATTTTAGTTTAATTTTTTACATTTGTCAATTGGGTCGTCAGTGCATCTTTTTATTGGGTATTTTGGATTTTTTATTTATAAATTGTCTACCTTTCCCTGTTTTTTTGTTTGGGTGGCTAGTTATAGACAATGGGCAATTCATTTTTTTGTATGTATCCATGATGTAAATATGTTTTATGCGTGTGCTGTTGATGAGTGATGCACCAGCCTGCATGTTACATAGATGGTTGATATCATTTTGTGTCTGAATAATTATTCTCATTTGAGAAGGCACTTTGGTTCTGAAACTTAGAACCAGGACCGAGACATCTGCATTCACACACATATTTATATGCACACACGTGTCTATGTAGGCTGGAACATGTGAATTTCATTTTAGAAGGCAATTTTAATCTGAAACTCTAAAAAATCGAATAAATTAAACTGAGAATTAAATTATTTCACATACCCTATACTTAACATACATACAAATATATGTCGTGCTTATAAGTACATGTGAAATGTGCATGTATTTTGTCGCACGGTTTGTTATTTTTTTGCATGCCACTGCTTTATAAATATTTCCTATGATCTCTATTTTTACTTTGATTTTATTGCATGCCACTTGTCCAGAAATATTTGCTGCAACCTCTATTGTTCGTCCTCGTGCCGATGTCGCATACTGCATACATGCTCTTGCAAGACGATTGGCCAAGACTCATAACTGGACGGTACACATTTACAGACTTAAATTTTTTTTGTTGGATTGAAATTTCCAGTTAACACAAAACTCCTACATGGTTTTGAGGTTCAATTTGGAAACCAGTTGTTGGTGGCAATTAGGACCCTTCAGCTTTGACAGTATTTTTTTGATAGCGTAAACTGATTGTTAGCAATCTTGTCAATGCTTTTGATTCATTCATGCCCTATTTGATTGTTAGCAATCTTGTCAATGCTTTTGATTCATTCATGCCCTATTTGATAAACAAGAATCGTGTTTGGTGCAACATGATAACAACCAGCGAGTGGATTTATTTCTGTTGAATTGCTCACATTAAGAGTTCCGGGTGTTATTCTACTTGACCGTTATCTGTACTGAATGCATCCCTCTAAGTTATATTCATATCCAAAGTTTTCTCGTGATCCACGAGTTATATTGAGTTTCACATGATTTGTCATGCCACTTTTATTTTGGGGTAAGATTAGAGTAAGAAGTATGTTCACAAGGAGCTCTTCTTTTTACATATATTGTATACATTTTCTTCTGTTACTTTGGAGTTTAGAATAATGGATTGCATTATTGCAACTTCTTTGCATTTCTGGGAAGTCAAAGATGAAATAGTGGTTGCGGATGGTGAACAAGGTGTTAATCTTTGAAAAATTGTGAGAAGGATTTATGTTTTGGGTGGGATCCTTGTAGAAAGTTTTCAATTTTACATGTTGATCCACTTTCTTTGTGTTGTTTTTTGTCCAAAACTAATCATCAGATTTCCTGAATTTCAACATGTTCTGTTGGATGTGCCACAGGTTGCATTGAAAACATTAATAGTTATTCACAGGACATTGAGAGAGGGTGACCCCACCTTCAGAGAGGAGCTGCTCAACTATTCCCACAGAGGGCATATTCTCCAACTCTCTAACTTTAAGGATGACTCGAGTCCTCTTGGTATGCATTGTTACTTATCCAGGGAATTATCATGGCCTATGCTTGTCCACCTGTCCACCGTCGTGCCAAATTTTATTTATTTTCAAACAATTAAGCAGCATTATAAATATTGTGTTTTCTTTTTTGTTTTATTTCCTCTGCAGCTTGGGATTGCTCTGCATGGGTTCGTACTTATGCACTGTTTTTAGAGGAAAGATTGGAGTGCTTTAGGGTTTTAAAGTATGATACTGAAGCAGAGCGTTTAATGAAGTCTGTGCAGGGGCCTGCAAAGGTGTGGAAATTTTCTTGGTCCTTTTTGTTCTTTTGATTTCTTTAAATAGAGTATATTATGGAGAACCATATTTCATAATTTGTAATCACTGCCTGCCACTTGTCATGTTCTGTTCTGGTCGGTGCTAAGTAGTCTCCATAACCTTTGATCATTTAATTGGATATGGATGAACCCCAATTGACCATGGTTTCCCATAGATCACTGGATTATGCATGCTTTCGCACACTTTAATCAGTACATTCTTTCCTGTAATGTTGATTTGCTCCTTGTTAAGCAGGGGCATAGCAAAACAAGGGAATTAGGAAGTGACGATTTGCTGGAGCACTTGCCTGCATTGCAGCAGCTTCTATACCGTCTTGTAGGCTGCCAGGTGGTTTTTTTTGTAAATATTGGCCGTAGATTTTCTAAATGAGAGCAAACTTTATTGTTTTGTTATTTATTTAGTAAGAAATATTGGGTTCGTTTTGGGCAGCCTGAAGGAGCAGCTTTCAGCAATTGCTTGATACAGTATGCGCTTGCTCTGGTATGCTTTCGGGTCTTGGCATGCCACTATGGTTGTTCGTATGTGAATTATTGTTTCATAGTTATTCTGGTGAAAAAGATAAGGTTAACAATAATGAAGATAATCTAGTTCATCTCATGTGACCTGAGAAAAGAAAAATTTGGATCACTTTCTTTTAGCTTATTCATATTGTTTGCATACAATGAAATAGTTGGAACATGAAAGTTGAAGTCTCATCATCCCTAACCCCCCGCCCCCCCCCCCCAAAAAAAAAAAACCTAAGAGAAAAAAGAAAAAACCACAGAAGATAACTGAAACAACAAAAAAAAAAAGAACCCAAAGTGACAAGATTATTAGATCATCATACTTTATAAGTGGTTTCCTTGAGGACTACCAAATTCCATTGATTTTCAACAAGAACACCACTGGTTTTAAAAAAAAAAAAAGAGGGATTGGGAAACTACCCTGCTATTTTGAGGAAGTGATGGAATGCCAGTTGGGCTATTTTTCCTTCTTATACAATTTCTGGGATGGTTTCCTAGTCGCACTATTCTAGTTTTGCCTGCTCCTTACCTTGAAACTTAACCCAGGAAGATAAACTTATTGAACAAACCATATCCTTTTTCATCTTTCTTCGTGGAATTTGCCATTTTAGACAACCCACAATACCTAAAGCCCAACAATTTGCCCTTTCTTTGAGATGCCTTTTTCAGTTTTTGACTGATGTTCCTCCTATATATGGAAGATGGATTGCTCAAGGATACACAATGAACTTTATTATTAGCTCTGGGGTGATCATATCAATATTTCTATTTCTGATAATATGCTGTTTCTAGATTGTATACCATTATTTACCAACTTGGGTTTACTGTCTTGGCTCGTAGGTTCTGAAAGAGAGCTTCAAAATTTATTGTGCCATCAATGACGGCATTATTAATCTTGTTGATAAGGTGGGTCTTGACCTAAAGGAGCTGCATGGTTTCTAGAGACATCAATTACATTACAAGTTGTGTCTTTATTTTATGAATTTGCTGTGCTTTTCTAGAAGGACATTACACCATGTATATACTGTTTTTGGTTTTACCGTGCACCAGACATGAGTGGTATGCTTAAGATTTCAAGAAAGGCCAAAAATCAAAAAATGAAAAAAGAAAAGAAAGAAGTAAAAGAGAGCAGAAAAGGATATCAAATTGATGTTTTTTGACCATATTGTTGCAGTTTTTTGAGATGTCAAGACATGAAGCTATAAAAGCCCTTGATATTTACAGAAGAGCTGGTCAGCAGGTTGTGTACCACCATCTATCTTTATACATTTTACATATTGACTAAGACGTTGTTACAAAATGTATAGAACACAAGAAAATGTGGAAAATAAGGAAAAGTACTAGCTTATAGAAACTATGAATATGTGAAACAGAAAAATGATAGCCATAGAGAAGAAATACAATATTACACAGCTGAACTGTTTACAAGGCCACTATTGTGACTGGTTATTTCACCATATGTATGAACCATGAGAAATTCCTGTATCCTAATGAATGGAGCATATCTTTTGTAATTTTTATGAGATAAAGTGTTTCTGCATCTGGTGTCAATATTGGTCTTGTTCAAAGATAACACATGGCATTTATGAATAGAAACCATAGTCATGGGAGTTCTGCTCATAAAGGAATTGCGAGATGTACAGAAAATATGACAAAAGTAGTCGACTGGTGAATCATTAGGTACTGAGACATCAATTATAGGACAATAACTGGAGCTATGACCAGATATATTTCATGTCTGTAATTAAAACACAAAGGCCAATTTTGGCATGGGAACATAAATTTTACTATTTGAAATTTTACGCATCTATTATTGGTAAAGTTCTGTGAATATTATCAAGCGCAGATATCTATTCGTTACTTCTTTTCCTAGAGAATAAATAATTGCCTTTCTCATTTCCAGGCTGAAAGCCTTTCCGAATTTTATGAGTTCTGCAAAGGCTTGGAAGTTGCAAGGAATTTTCAGTTTCCTACTTTGAGACAGGTTCATTTCTCTTCATCTTCCATTTACTAAGTTTGAAAATGCTCGTGATCATTGGTGTCGAAGAAAAAGAGCCTCTCTCTCTCTCTCTCTCAATTATTGTTTCCTCATTGTTCCAGCCACCTTCTTCATTCCTTGCAACAATGGAAGAGTATATCAGAGAGGCACCTCGAACCTCTTCTGTTTCAAGAAGGGCGGTGGTGAGTTCACTTGTTGCCGTAATTCTTGTCAGAATTAATTGTTTTATTGGTAGAAGACATTTGTAGTGACAGAAAATTTTGAAAAGTTAGTAATTATTATCCATTGAAAGGAAGTGAAGGAAGACAAAATCATCTAATTTTAAACTTTTCCTGATTTATTTTGCATCTTTGAAGTTGTTCTCCAAGGATTATTTCACTCTCTATACTTAGTCAAAGTGAATTTCTAGAGAACATTTTCAGTGAGTAGGTGGGCCTAAACTGGAGGGAGAGTATTACTATCATTGGATTAGTACTTTGATTTTATGATCCTAAATCCATATGTTACTCTAGTAATCTTGAAATCCAATCACAGTGGTAACTGCAGCAGTTAGTGGTTACTAAACATGTATTTCTTTTCTTTGCTGCTGATATGTCTGTCATATGTGTGTGTGTGTATGCGTGTGGTCTTATGGGAGAGCCCACATATTGAGTTTATTTACGGGGTAATTTTAAAGCTGACTCATTGGTTATTCTCTCTGGACTTTCATATTGATCAGGAGTACCAGGAGCCAAAGCTTTTGACTTTCAAACCAGAGGAGGTTTCTCCTTCTGAAAGTGTTGTAGAATCAGATAATAAACAATTTGTAGAAATTCAGGAAATGCCTCAGCCTGAGGAAGTGGTTGCTCCTGAACCTGAACCACCTGCAGATACAGAAGATCTATTGGTGAGTTTTATTTTGAAAATTTCTCTTTAGTCAAATTATAAATTTGTAAGAGAGGGATGTATGAAACAAAAATCACAACACTGCCAATCTCTCTATCACATATTTTACAAATTTTGTGCCTTCATGTGTTCGTGTGTGTGTGCAATCACAAAATAGTCCCCTTTGGTTTATCGGGTATTCAATAAATTTGTGAAATGATGCATGTGTAGGGCTGTGATAGGTCTATATGTGGGGAGATGAAAGGTCTATGTGGTCTTTTAAGATAATGGAGACAATACTTTCTATGGAAGTCACTCATTTCTTTTTGTGCAGGGTTTGAATGAGTTAAATCCTAATGCAGTTGCGATAGAGGAGAGCAATGCATTGGCTCTAGCCATTGTTCCATCAGGTCAGTAACATGCTCTATCTAGCTAATCTGCTTTATTAGACTATTGAACCAATAATGTATTTTATGTCCTTCTTGGTTGATCTCATCATGTTTGAATTATGAATGTGTTCCTAAGATCAGAGCTCTGATACAGTTGGAATGATTTTTACATAATGGGGAAATATGATAAGAGAATGACAAAACAATCATGGACTTCTAAATGTGCATTTAAAACACTCTCTTGCAAACCCTGCTTCTATGTGGCAGACTGATGAGTGTATGGGACTCTCCCTCCCCACCCCGACCCCCCAAACTGTGCATTTAAAACACTCTGTTGCGAACCCTGCTTCTATGTGGCAAACTGATGAGTTTGTCTCTCTCTCTGTTTCTCTCTCTCTCTCTCTCCCTCTCCCTCCCTTCCTTGGGCTGTTGTGCACATATTGAAAGAGGTTGATTGTTCAGTTAAATAGAGAGAGTGAACCAATTCTTATGTTCAGTTAAATAGAGAGAGTGAACCAATTCTTATCTAAAGTTCACGTGTTTGTATATGCACATGACATGTCTTATCTTTAACTGATGCATAAATTGAAAATTACAGATGGCACAAAACCATCTGAGGGTTTTCTAGGGAATAGTACAGATCCTTCAGGATGGGAGCTTGCCCTTGTTGCTACAGCTAGCAGCAACACCAGTCACGTTACTGAAAGTAAATTGGTACGTGTTCTGTTTCTTTACTTTCAAATCTTCATCCACTTTTATTGGGGCTTCATAAGTCATGAGATTCTTTATCTGGTTGTTGATTCCGCAGGAGTTAGCAAAAATGTTTTTAAAAAGATTTGCATAGTTAATATTTTATATTTATTAAACAAAGTACAAATGCACATCCATGCAAGAATTAGAATTTAGGCATAGCATCCATATGTTGGTAATTTAGGATCAACATTATTCACTTTATAATATTTGAAAGATAAAGTTATGTAGAATTTATGGGTAAAAGTGTAATTGAATAAAACATTGAAATAGGAAATACCTGATGGTTTCCAAGTAACTGTGTTATTCATTCCATGAGAACTTATTCGTTTCAGTTGTACCACATAATCCATTAAAAGGTGTTCCAAGTGAGTCCTTTGAGCTCCATGGTTTCATTTTTCTACTCCCCATCCGTTTAAATTAAACAAAGCGCTAGGTTTAGTAATTGATGCCTCATGACTGCGAGTTGATGGCCTTACTTCCGAGCTTGACATTTTTCAGAACTGAATATTAAATTGATTGAGCTGATATAAGTTGATATGCAGAGTATGATACCAAATTTAAACAGTGTGTCGTAGGGGCTAGCTTTTCTTGACTTTCATCTAGTGGGAGGCGAGGGGGGAGGGTGCGTGGTAGTGGTATTGGACACCATCCAAACTGGATTGCAATGGCTATATTTTGTTGTCATTGGAGAGAGAGAGAGTGATCTGGTTTGATCCAAGGCTGTTTAGTAAACTCATTGAATCACCTGTATATAAGAGAGAGAGAGAGAGAGAGAGAGAGAGAGAGAGAGAGAGAGATACTAACATGTTACTTAATTTAGTTAACGTAGGGTCCGGGTTCGACAACTCTGTGACAGCCTCTACGACGATGCTACAAACGAAGGAGACAGCAGCAACAG